AGAGAAGTAGAAATACAAGTAATGAGAGTTGTGAATTGAAGGATGAGATTGTAAGATGGGATTGGAAGTCCAGTCAGCTAGGAATATGGCAAGACTTATAAGGAAAAGAACCTTGGTTGTCTTAGTAGATACAGAGTGACTATGAAGTCTGTGAGTGAAGCCAGGAGGAAGAGTATATTTTGTTATGCAAAGGAGGCATGAGGACTAAAAAAGCAGGTATTTTACATTCAGGTGGAAGAATATGATTTGGAAGTAGCATTATAGAAGGAAAGGATTCTTGACCTTCCTGGCCTAAAGGAGAAATGGGGTTCTACAGAGGAAATCAAACAAAAATATCAGTTCTTAGTTTTGATAGCACAGAATCTATAGGTAAAGTGTGCATAAGAAAGATTTGAAAGAATATATAACATCTGACTAGCTTTTCACCTATTCCCAGCTCATTCTTACTTCTGCTCATCTGTCTAAAAAAGAGAAAAAAATTAACAACTCTGGCTGGGAAGAGGGAGGAAGTCACCAAGGTGGAGAGAAGACTGGTAAGTATCTTTAAGAGGAGATTAACATGAATTCATATTATACTTCTCGGGTTGCGGATATAGCTCAGTGGTAGTGTACACCTAACTTGTGTAAGGCTCTGGGTTGTATACCCAGTAAACACACACACACACACACACACACACACACACACACACACGAGAAAGTCATATTACACTTCTCTTTTTCATAGATTCTTTGAAAACAGTATATTTAGCATCTTAACTTTGTTCACAAAAACTCAATTGTTTTTAGTTGAACTTATGCTCAAAATGCTTCAAGTTATCTCTGGCCTACAAGTCTGGGTAGTGCTTTTGAACATTAAGCACACTACCAGTAATGTGCTACTATGTTTGTGTGTTTTTCAAGCAGTTCAATTCCAAACTGTTTCCATGCTTAAAACTTTTCCTAGTACAGAGATTTTTCCAAAGTTCTAAAATCTCCTTTCTGTTGAGAGCCACAGCCAAAGGGGCCCCAGCAAACTTCCAGCTGCCAGCAAACTTCCAGCTGCTGGCTGATGATTGGCTCACAGTGGCCCCAGCAACATCTAGCTGATTGGCTCCCCGGCCCCAGCAACATCTAGCTGATTGGCTCCTCTGCGGTGATGCTCATTGGACTGTTTCCCTGCCCTTTCAGACCACGGAGCTGCTCATTGGGGGACTTTTTTGGCTCCGCCCACATGACCCAGCCAATCGGCCTCAAGAGCAGGAGGATTGTGGGAGGTGGAGAGAAGTTTGTGTGGGAGAGAGAGGCTTGGGGAAAGCCGGTGGTGGCAGTTGAGGCTCTGAGGGTTTTTCCTGAGAGACTATTTTGTTTGTCGTGTGTGGTTCTAAAAATAAAGTTAGTTTCTTTTGACAAGTGGCTCCTGATTGTGCCCAGCCAGACTGCGGCATTTGGTGGCTCGCACGGGGAGCGACTGAGGGTAAGTGAACTGCTCGCCCCTGAGGGCAGGGCGAGAGGATGGGTAGCCATTTTAAGATTCTTCTTTTGTTATTTTGTTTCACTTTTGTTTTAAGTTGCCTGTCCCTGGAGATGTGTAAGTTGGAAGAAAAACCACTCACATCTGAGGAACAGATAGGGAGAAAGGACGGATGGACATTTCAGGAGGCTATTATAATGATTTTGTGTTGTTCCAATTTTGTTTCACTCAGTTTCAGTTTTGTTAGGCGTTATCTTGTTGGGTTGTATTATAGTAGAAATACGGGATCAGAAATTAGTAAAAAACAAACTGAAAGAGTGTTAAGTAAATTGTTAGAGGAAGGAGGCATCTCAGTAAAATCAAGAACAATCAGGGCATACGTTGATACAATACAAAAATGTAGCCCATGGCTTTTTAAGGAGGAGTTGTTAAATATATCACAATGGAACCATCATGGTGAAGATTTAAAAAGAATAGAAAAGAAAAGCCCAGGGACTCTGCCAGTTGGCACATTGCCATTGTGGACATTCGTATCTTGTTTGCTTAGTCCAAAGCCTTCAGTTCAGACAATGGTAGAGGAAGGAGAAGACATAATGATTCAAGTAAAAGAGAAGGTCTCTCAAGTTAGTCAGACAGAGGAAAAGATTCAAGTAAAAGAGAAGGCCTCTCAAGCTAGTCAGACAGAGAAAGAAAGTGTAAAACAGAAAAAGCCATCAGGGGGAAAGTTACAACAGGAGACTGCTACTAACACCTTTCTATCACCAGAGGACGTAAGTGTCCAACTAACAAGGCCACCTCCATATGCTGGGAGGCCCCCAATCCCCGCAGTTGATAGTTGGGATCCTGAGACAAGGTCTCAAATATTAACATGCCCTGTATTTGAGGCAGGAGGGCAGCGATTTTACCAAGTTTTAAATTTCAAAACAGTGAAGCAGCTAAAAGAGGCTGTAACAACCTATGGTCCTCAAGCACCCTTCACTGTAAGCTTGGTCGAATCCATTAACAACTTGAACATGACGCCAGCAGATTGGGCTAATATGTGTAAAGCTGTGCTAAATGGAGGACAATACCTGTTATGGAAGGTTGCCAATGAGGAATTTTGCAAGGAGACGGCTAGGCGAAATGCCGCAGTCTGGCTGGGCACAATCAGGAGCCACTTGTCAAAAGAAACTAACTTTATTTTTAGAACCACACACAACAAACAAAATAGTCTCTCAGGAAAAACCCTCAGAGCCTCAACTGCCACAACCGGCTTTCCCCAAGCCTCTCTCTCCCACACAAGCTTCTCTCCACCTCCCACAATCCTCCTGCTCTTGAGGCCGATTGGCTGGGTCACGTGGGCGGAGCCAAAAAAGTCCCCCAATGAGCAGCTCCGTGGTCTGAAAGGGCAGGGAAACAGTCCAATGAGCATCACCGCAGAGGAGCCAATCAGCTAGATGTTGCTGGGGCCGGGGAGCCAATCAGCTAGATGTTGCTGGGGCCACTGTGAGCCAATCATCAGCCAGCAGCTGGAAGTTTGCTGGCAGCTGGAAGTTTGCTGGGGCCCCTTTGGCTGTGGCTCTCAACACCTTTCTTTAGAAACCCATATTGTAACAGAAGACTTTTCCTTAGCTCCAGCATCTATCTTGCAAATCATTCTAATTTTTATTTTGTATGAACAGTACTTTAAAGTACAGCATCCATAGGACTCTATTGCAGTTAGTCTTTTAATATTTTTCCAATAATATATTTTCTGTTTCTGAAAATTTGTTGGTAAACAGCAACCAAATAAAATACACCTTAAATATATATGATTTTTATGCTTTTATACCTTTGAAATATTTTCTATTTATAGGAATCTGACATATTTACTGACCTCTATTTAGGGCCACTTCTCAGCCTTTTGAGAAGAGAATAAAGAAAATATTTACTAGATACAACATTGTGCTGATTTCTACCGAAAAAACATGTTCTTATGCTTAAGCCTCTCAAATTGATTCAGGAAAATGTACCAAAATTAGAAAGTAAAGGTCATTACTTTCTTAGTCCATTTTGTATAGCTAGTTACACAATATCATTGTGTTAGCTTTTCCTTGCTGTGACCAAAATACCCAACAAGAAAAAATTAGGAGAAACAGTTTACTTTAGCTTATGGTTTAGTCCATGGTTTTCAGAGTCCATTGCTTTGAGGCTAAGGTGAGCAGAACATCATGGAGAAGGGTGTGGTGGAGGGGCGCTGCTGCATTCGTGGAAGCCAGGAAGCAGATAGGCTGCAGGGAAGATGAACCTTTCTAGGGCAGGTCCAATTGATCCACCTTCTCCAACTAAATCCTACCTGTCTACAGTCACTACCCAGTCAGTTCATTCAAGCTAAGATGGACTGATTAGTTTACAGCTCTCATAATCTGATCATTTCAACTCTGAATATTCCTGCAGCGGCACAGAAGCTTTTGGGGAACACTTCATATCCAAACCATAATAAATACACACTGGGTAAGTTAAGAAGAGGGTTTGGTTCACGGTTCTTGCTCCAAGATTGAGGGGCAACATCAGGTGTTGGCCTTCCAGCAAGAAGTCCCAATGTAGTGTAGGATATCACTGTCCAGAGACAGGGAGTATGAGAAAGTCCTAGTCAAAGGGGCTTTCATAGCAGACCCTCTCTGGAGATAAGCCATTAACCAACCCATTAATCATGAATGGAATCAGTAATCATGAATGGATTATTCCTCTCATGTGGGCATAGCTTTAATCACTTCATGAAGGTCCCCTGGTCTCATCTCTTTAATATCTCATAATTCCGACATGAATTTTGAGGGGGAAAAGCCATATTCGAATCAAAGTAGCCAGTGTACTTGTCAATGATGGGGACAGGGAGAAGATATTGAAACAGATGTATCTTGAGCAGAACGCAAAATATGTAATTAACATATATAATGAAATTTCAAGTTGCAGTGGACATTCCTCAGATTTGCCTAAACTTCAAGACAAGAGCATCCCGGAATGAGGTTTAAAACTCTTTTCAGGGGGTACCTTTTCAAGGTCTGCTCCTCCCGGGTCACCCCTAACCAGAGCCTCTGGTGCGCATCCAACTGAAGCAAAGAAAGGTGCAGCCACTTTTGACCCAGCATTCTCTAACAAGGCCCAGGAATAAAGAAACATGAGGCACTGCGCAGTGTTTAGAAAAGCAAGCAAGGCCAAAAGGAGGTAAAAAGAAGGAGGGGGGTGTTCTGGAGCCCCTCACACTCAGCTGTGTAGCCGGTGCACATCCCTCTTGGCCTCCAGATCGAGGCGGGAGTTGGGGAGGAATGGGGCCCTCAGTCTAGCCACGGGGCTGCTCCCAACAGGACCCAACTTGCAAAACCCGCCTCCCTCAATTCCCGCCCGCGTCGGCGCCCCACTGGGAGGGCGATGCGGGCGACGCCCTATGACGTCACGCGTGACGCGGCGCAGTGGGCGGGAGAGGGTGACTGTGAGGCGTTTCGCCATGGCGACCGTCCCTGGCGACGCTTTTTCTTTCCCCGCTTGGGGATGCCCCTTCCAGGTCTTATACTCTAAGCAGTGCCAAGTCGAAGGGCGCGGGAGCTCTCCGACCTCTCGCTATGGGGGAGGGAAGAGGCGAAAACTTCGACGGTGTGAGCACCGACCGCCTTAAACTGGAGTTGCTGGAAGAAATCTACCAGAAGTGAGTCGGCGGCGCGCGGCCTCCCGCGCCCATGAGGGGCAGGTGCGCGACCCCGGGCTTCCCGGGGCGACCCTCGGGTCAGTTGGCGCTCCGCCTCAGACAGAAGCCGTCAGGATTAAGAGAGGGCACGTCCGGCGACTTCCCCTAACAGTGTTCTGTGCTAGAGGTTGATTTGCCTTCTTGATTAGTTATGCCTGTCAGTATGCAGGTTGTATTTTCTTTATGGTTGAAACTAAGTGGCCCCGCGCGGTGGCGCATACCAGCAATTATAAAGTCTGGGGAGGCCGAGGCAGGAGGATCGCAAGTTCAAAGCTAACCTCAGCAATTTAGGAGGTCCTAAACAATTTAGTGAGACCCTGTCTCAAAAAAAAAAAATGCACCCCTGGGTTCAATCCCTGGTATATATAAATATATAAATAAATAAATAAATAAAGCAAGAACAACAAAACCAAAAAACACCACCACCAACACCTCCCCCCAAGTGTATTTGGTATACATGTATATATGTTGTAATTTTAAAATAGGTCTTTGGTTTTTATGTTCTACTGAATTCGGGTTTTTCAGTTTAAAATCCCAAGGAATTTATTTAGTATTTCATCCTTTAGAAGAACTTAGAAATGGTAACTTTTTGTAAAAATCGGGCCTTCTTCCTATGCTTTCTTTTTCTCTTTCTTTGTGCAATGCTGAGGATTGAACTCAGGACCTTACCAATGGTAGGCAAAGGCACTATTGAAAGCATGTTCATCTCCAGTTTCTCAGATGCTTTTTCATTTCTTGTAACAAAGGCATAGACAGGTTTATTTAGGAAGATAGATAACACATTCAAGGGAGAATGTGTGCTGTCTCCAGAGTAAGCAGCCTCTCCTATGCTTTTTAGAACAATATTAATATTTCTTGTTAAAACTGAATATGCTATTTTTTAAAAGATAATCTTATCACACCCACAGGCCCCATGAGAATTGACTTTTCTCTGGGTCCCATAGCATCCTGTGCTTTCCTCTATTATAACTCCAGTCACACTACTAATTAATTTATTACTTATTTTTAAAATCTTGAACCAAATGATAAACATTCTGAGAATCAGGTTCTGCCTTCTCTGAGGCAGTAAAGGTTCAGAGCAAGTATTTAGAGGAATTCTGCATAAATTTAAATCTCAGCTCTTATTACTCAATAACTATAGGACCTTATTTAAGTTAACTAACTTGCTTAAGCCTCAGCTTTCTCTTAAGAGTGTTATATAAATAGTTACACTTCCTATTGTTGTTGCCAGGATGGAGTGAAATGTGTAAAATGTTTAGCACTGGCTAGTGCATTCCAGGTAAGCATTCAAGTGGAATTTAGCTGCTGCTGTTGATATTGTTCTGTCCACTTGCTCATTGTACTGTCTTTAACAAAATGCCTTAAATACAAAAGGCATTCAGAAATATTTACAAATGCTTTTTTAAAGAAAGTGTGTGTGTGTGTACATGTGTGTGTTTTATTAGTGTTTCTTTTTTCTTTTTTTCAGGTTGACACTTGTTGCCTACTGCCCTTGTTAGCTATTCCTGTCTGTAATAATTCGCAGCTCTTATTTTACAGTGTTCTGAGAAACTCAGTAATCAATCTCTTTGGGATCATATTTAAGGGTAATTGGCTTCCAGTGATTACCTGGGAGCTTTGAGCCTTAGTGCATATTTAATCTTTTCTGGACCTTATTAATCAGAAGCTTGTATTTGTCTGATTCTTGATACTCAACCATGTCTTCAATAAATAATGTTTAATAATATTCAATAAATAAATGATATTTCATAAGAAATTATTCCTAAAGTAATGGGGGTTAAATGTATTAGTTTTCCCATGTTATTTTTAATTGAATCATAATTAACAAAATATTTTTAATAACAGGGATGTAGTGCAACTCTCAGTGTTTGAATTAAGACACAAGATAGCAGAAATGGAAGCCAAACCCAATACTGACAATGAAGGTATATACGTAAATATTTATATATATATATATCTTGTATAATTATTGTTCATTTTACCAAGATACCTATGGTACATTAAATTACATATATTGAATAATATATTACCAAGTTTTTAGTATTACTCTCTGGTGGCATTAATAATAATTTATGACAAAAGCTTTAAAACTGATACTTCAGAATGTCAAACCATTACTATATAATTATTCAAAAATGTTATTTCACAAAACTTTTCTTATATGACATCAATATACTGTTTCCTTTGTAAATAACAAAATATCATAAATATTCTGTTCAATTTATGTCACACCCTTTATATATTAACTACTGAATTTTCAGTTTAACTGTAAAATCCTTATCTAGGATTTATCTGTTTGTGTTGGAAGAATTTTTGTGTGTAGGGGTGTGTGTGTGTGTGTGTGTATTATATATGTACACATACCCACATACACATATCCTTAAAATTTATAATGTATGCCAGACATTTATTAATTCCACAAATAGTAATTGAGATTCATATATCAACACTTTGGAAGACCTTTATTTTCCCTATTTTAAAGAGGTGCAATGACTATTGGGGAGAAAGTGACAAGCTAAAATATGATTATGAGACGTGATATATGTTCTGCAAATAGAGAAACGGGATCTTAGAGAAAGAATCTAGCACAATTTTAGTGAAGGTATAAAGACAGCCTTTACAGAGGAAGCAGTGCTTAAACTAAACAAAGTAAGGAGTTTATTAGAATTATGGGGGTGTGCTTTGGTTCTTAAATTCATTTGTACTTCTTTCTTATACTAAGAAGCCATGAACAAAAAAAGATTAGTAGCCAATTGAGAAATAAAATGCTGCTTTCTATGAGAATCCAATACTCTGTTAAAGCTTGCTTGGAGAATACTACACCAAGGCTAAAGTAGCATTATATATCTATCTGTACTTTAGTTATAACTAGCTCTGTGGGGGCAGACTTTGAGTTCACCTACCAAGTAGTTGTATTGGCAAGGGTAATACACTCACCTACCCAGTTAGAGAAAAAACAGAAGACATGCTCACACATATAGTATGGAGTCCAGTACCTATGCCCAATAGTAATATATTGCTCACTAGTCATAATATAAACTGTTCTTATGGAGAGGAAGTAGGATATGGCTGCAAAGAGTAGGAAAGCTTTTGCCTCAGTAGTCTAAACTGAAGTCTTAAATGAATAGCAAAAACACTTGTCCCTTAATCAAGGCCAGGAACTCTGTCAAGTGAGGTGATCCTTTTTTTGTTTGTTTGTTTCAATGAGAATAGCTAGTATTTGTGTAGTGCTTTAAATGAATTTTCAACTACCCTTTTAAAAAGTATTATTACCCCATTTTATAGATGAGAAAACTGAGATCCTAAATGACTTTCTGAAAAATACAGAGGTAATGAGTGATATTTCTGAAATTTTCAATCCAGGCATGCTGGTGTCAAATTCCACTTAGCCTCCACTTCTTTCTACCTCTTAAGCTTAAATTTGCACCTTGATTTTTTAATTTTTAAAGTTTTTCATCTAGAGAATTGAGCCTTGGTTTACAACTAGGAATAGAAATAGGCCAGGTTTGCCTAGTACATCCATGCTTGTCTAATTTTTTTTTTTAACTCATTCCAATCAGAAGTTTTGCCTGCTCAACTGTGTAACTATTCTTGTCCAGGTCCCCAATGATTTCTAGTTTGCTAACTCCCACGTCAGCTGAGTCATCTTATGTGATCTCATTAGCTGATCTCAACTTGTCCTTGAAGCCCTTTGTTCACTTGGCCACTGGGACACCATACTCTCTTGGTTGTCCTACTTATTAGTCACTTGTCATTTCTTCATTTCTAAAAACTCAGGAATGCCTCGGGGCTCAGTCTGCGTCTTCTGACATTTCTTCAATATATGCTTAGGCAATTTCTGGTCTTCTAGGGTTAAATACCATCATATACTGACAACACACATCCATATCTCCACTTTGGACCTCAAGTCTGATTTCTAACCCCAAGTACCTTTGGCCATTTCATAATATATTAAAAGAGCAAACATTTTTTTATACTTAGTAAATGCTAAATTTTTTTTTGTAAAACTCAATTTGTCTTTCATATTTCAAAACAAAGAAAAGAATACTTTTTTCTGGTATAATACTTAATGATGAAAAATTAGAGGGATTTCCATTCCTTGGGGTGGGAGGAAGATGCCTATTGCCATCATTCAAATGTATTAGTGATTTCAAAGTTCTAGTCAAACAATAAAATGTGAAAAAGAAATGAATGATAGCTATTAGGAAGAGATAGACTTTTATGATTTCCATTTTCATAATTTAATATCCAGAATTTTCCAGAGGATCAACTAAAAACTAGTATAATAGTAAATATTTAGAAAATGATTAGATAAAGCCTGATGCAGTGGCATGTGCCAGTAATTCCAGTGGCTTGAGAGGCTGAGGAAGGAAGATCACAGAGTTCAAAGCCATTCTCAGCAACTTAGTGAGGCACTTAGCAACTCGGTGAGAACCCTGACTAAATAAAATATAAAAAAGGGCTGGGGATGTGGCCCCTGGGTTTAATCTCTTATACACCCCCCAAAATTGTTGGATATAATAATAGAATAAATGTTTATTTTAAAAAAATAAACAAGTTTCAGCAATAACAAGCTAAAAATATAGTGTTGAAATGACCTCAATCACAATTTCTACATAGTCCACAAAATATCTGATCATTTCTTTGGCAAGAATTATGCAGAACCTGTATGAAGAGACAACAAAAGACTATGACTATAGAGGAATAATTGTTAAATCAGAATTCTCACCTTATTCTACCCAAGAGATTTCATACCAAACAGAAACCATAAGGGAAAAAAGAAATTGAAAAAGTTTTCCCCTTAGCCCATGCCTTGTTGAAATTCTAAGCTTTGTTAGTGGGAGACACAAAAAACAGCAAAAAAGGTGGACTGGGGATGCTGCTCAGTGGTGAGCATATGCCTAGCAAGTGTGAGGCCTTGGGTTTGATCCCCAGCACTGCAAAAATAAGAAACAAGAAGTCTTTGTGAACCTTGTTTTAGTTAATGAGCTCAATTTATTTTTCATTAGACATATAAGATTTCTATTGGAAAGAAAACTAAATTAATAAAAATGTACCACCCATTTATGTGCTCATACCCTGAGCATCTCAGAATCTCTAGTGGAGTGGGGAAAATGCTAGGAGTTAGCCTGTAAAAAGAACATTGACTTTAGAATCAGGTGGCCCCTGGCTTTAATATTACAGCTATGGGACTTAAATGTATAACTTTGAATAAATTACTTAAAACCCTCTTTGTCTCAATTTCCTCACATGTAATTGGTGAAAAATATACATAACTTGTAGGGTTGTTTGAGGACTAATATATTGAGTTTATCCTCTTCATTATTTTTAAAAAAATATTTTTTAGTTATAACCTTTATTTACTTACCATTATTTGGTGCTGAGGATCGAACCCACTGCCTCACATGGGCTAGGCAAGTGCTCCACCGCTGAACTACAATCTCAGCCCCTTCATTATTATTATGTTAAAAAGGAGGGAAATTTTTTCCTCTATGGGAGGACTAAATATTATAAATGTGTTCATTCTCACCAAATTAACTTACTGGTATCATGTATATCTTATTAAAATACCTAGGTTCCCCTCGCCCCCCCCCCCCCCCCCCCCCGCAACTTGAAAAATTTAACTCTAAAACTAACTGGATGAAAAAATAGGCAGAAATAACTGTGGAAAGAGATACTTAGAAAATAAATTCATTAACACTTAAAATGAATCAACAGAACAGTAAAATTAGTCTTTTCAGAGTCTCATAGACCAAAAATGGGTAGGTTAAACCACAGACATTTATTTTCTGACACTTCTTGCGGCTGGAAGTCAACTCAAGATATTGGTGGGGTTGGTTCCCTTCAAGCACTCTCTCCTTGGCTGGTAGATGACCACCTGCTCTGTATGTGTTCACACATAGTCTTTCCTTTGTGTCTGTAACCTAATCTCCTTTTATAAAAACATCTGTTGTATTGAATTAGGGCTCATGTATGACCTCATTTTGCCTTAATTGCCTCTTATAAAATCTTGTTTCTAAATACAGTCACTTTCTGAGGTACTTGGGTTTATGACTTCAATATGTGAATTTGGTGTGCAGGTGATGGAGCAGGGTATGTTGGATGTGAAAGAGTGGTTAGAACACAATCCATCCTGTAACAGGAAAAGAGTCTAGTTTATTAAAACCATAATGCAATACCATAAAATTTAGGACCAGGTTATTGTTAATTTTGAAAATTGAATTTTTTGAATTAGTCTTTTAGTTACTTTAAAAAAAAGTACAAAACCATTTTCATTTATGACTTGGGGAAATAGATTATTACAAACAAAGTCTGTGCAATACTCTGAAATCAGACCCCAAATAATCAATGCATTATTCTATTCAGGCTCTATAACAAAATACCTTAAGTGGCTTAAATGATAGAAATTAATTTTCTCATAGTTCTTGTGGCTGGGAATTAGTAGATCAAGGTGCTGGCCAGTTCAGTTGATGGTGAGAACTCCTTTCTGATTTGGAGACACCTATCTTCTTACTATGTACTCACATGGCAGAATCAAACAGAGTCAGTTAGCGCTCTGCTTTCTCATCTAATAACACTAATCTTACAGAATTAGAGCCTCAGTGTTGTGACCTCATTTAAGCTTTATCACCTCCTTACAGACTCTCTCTCCAAATACATACAGTCAAATTGGAGGACAGAGCTTTAATATATGAATTTTGGGGGCAGGCACATAAATACTTAGTCCATAACAATCCTTTAGCATCACTTTCTAAGTACTATTTTCTCTCTCCCTACCATCAAAAAGGAAACAAAATAAAAATGTCAGACTGCCTGCTGCATTTGGGAAAGGGCTTCTGGGTAGAAAACTGGAGCCAAGGGCCTATTACCAATCATGTTTTATTGGAATTTAAGGAAGCTAAATGAAAAGTGATGAATTATTCAATAAATTCTGTTTGAAAAATTGGTGTAATATTGAGAAATGCTCATTTAGATCCTCATTCTATATACTTAATGCTAAAAACTTCCAAATGGATTATAAAGTTATTTTTTTTATTTTGGTAATTTTTATTTATTTTTTTAAAATTTTTTTATTATTAGTTGTTCAAAACATTACAAAGCTCTTGACATATCATATTTCATACATTTGATTCAAGCGGATTATGAACTCCCATTTTTACCCCATATACATATTGCAGATTCACATCGGTTACACATCCACTTTTTTACATACTGCCATACTAGTGTATGTTGTATTCTGCTGCCTTTCCTATCCTCTACTATCCCTCCTCCCCTCCCCTCCCCTCCCCTCCCCTCCCCTCCTCTCCCCTCCTCTCCCCTCCCCTCCCCTCCCCTCCCCTCCCCTCCCCTCCCATCTTCTCTCTCTACCCCATCTACTGTAATTCATTTCTCTCTCATTTTTTCCCCTCACTTCCTGGATTATAAAGTTAATATAAAAAAAACAAAAAGCATAGATGAGTATCTGTCTCCCCATCCTTATTTCTCTTTCAGATCAGATGTCCTGTGTATTCCATAGCATCCACTTAATTGAAAAATTTCTCAAATGTTCTAGTTAAGTGTGTTTTTTTTTCTTCTTATTTTTATTGCTGAATGATAGCAAGGACAGTGTCTATTTTATTTTTGCATCCTTAGTTCCTTATAGAGTACCACATTAGTCTTTTTCCTTTCCATGATAAAAATATTTCATTTTTCAGTCTTTTCAGATTAAGATAACTTCATTGTTGCCATCATTATAACTGTAGTGACTAGAACAAACATGACTGAATTATTAAAACCCATGTGGTGTGCTGTGGTTTGAACGTGTCTCTCCAAAATCCAATGTGATAATACAGAGAAGCTGGGCCTTTAAGAAGGGATGTGGCCATGAGGGCTCCTCTTTTTTTTTTAGTGGGATTAAGGCCCTGACCAAAGAGGCTTCACACACCACATTTTGTTAGCTTGCTTGTCTGTCACATGAAGACACAGAACAAGAAACCTTACCAGTGCCTTGATCCTGGACTTCCTTGCTTCCACAACTGTGATAAATAATTTCTGTTCTTTGTAAATGACCCAGTCACAGTGTTATAGCAGCACCAGATGGACCAAACATAGTGCCATTTTTCAACCCCAAACTGTTCTTTTTAATAGTTGAAAAAGTATTATTTGGCATTGTTTTTTTAATGGGACTTATCTGTATTACTAAAAAACACAGGTAAAGATTGAACTGTTTCATGTTATTTGAATGAATAAATAAGAGTTGGTGGGCTAATCTTGATCTCCCCACACCTCAGGCAGTGAATGGAAAACCCATTATGAGACACAACTAGAAATGAATGATCAACTAGAAAAGCAAATTGCATCTCTTAAAGAGAAAATGGAAAAATTCCGTGGGAATCCTTCAGGTACAAAAGCAATTATATATATGTGTTATAAGTTGAGTTAAAACTGATAAAATATCAATTGTTTATATTTGCTTTATTGTAGACAGTCTATCTTCTATTCGTGTCTATGAACGAATGCCTGTGGTGAGTAAAAGATGGTTAAAAAGAATAACTGTAGGAAAGTATGTATATTTTCCCCCAGACAGATTCTAAACAAAAAATTAAAGATTGTCAATGGGATCCAAATAAAATATTTTGTTCAGGAGAACTGTTCCTTGCATCCAAAGAATCTAGTCACAGGCCATCAGTTTACTCTCCCTGTTGGAAAGCAGAGCATAGATTCTGGTGTATGTACAGATAAACAAAATAGAAGAAAAAGAATCTCAGTAGTCAGGCTAGCAGGGAACCTGAGCATGTCTATTCCTTCTAATCAGAAGAAGCCTAATATTTAACACAAAGAACATATCTTCTACATTTCTAAAACATGTCCATTCTAGTTCCTCTGTAATATACAAACACATGTACTCACATATACACATGGATGTATTTGTGTACATACATATACATATACACATTACATATGCAAATATATTAAAGAGAGATATCAAATCCATCAGAGAACCCATAAAGTTACCTTATGAGGATCATGAAACCTCAATGGGCTGACCAATCTGCTTTCTTTTCTGGTTGCCTCTTTGTGAGTTAATTTTAATTTATAATAAATTACTTAAGTTTATCTGTTTTGTAAAGTGTTTTACAAAACAGATTCATTGTTTTTCAGTCATTCAAATCTATACTTTAAAATGTACAGAATCCTGAAGCATGACCTTGTTGGATTCAGAGCCTGCTTAGAAATAGCCTTTTCCTCAAAACTCTGAATTATTATTTCAGAAATACTCAGAAAAAAATCCTGTGAAAAGCCAAGGGTACTTCTATTGAAAATGCAAATGCCATACTCTGTGAAATTTGTAGGATTTAACATATCATTATCATCAGCAGCAGCAGCTTTAATTGAACATATACAGTATGCAAATTAATTTCATTTCCCTTTTTTCAGTCTTGCAACAACCGCATGAGGTGAAGTTTAACCTTATTTCCTTTGATGCATGTGATGATAAGCTTAAATAGATGAAAGAATTTGATCAGGCTCACACAGTCTATAAGTGGAGCCAAATTCTCTCCCTCTATAAAAAGCCTTCACGCATTTACTACACCTTGCTGTAGTGCTTATCAGAAATAACAACAAAAAAAAGTTTTTTAAAGAGCTATAGGTAGAGTACTAAGTTGATATACAGAGAATGAGAATGAGAGCATTTATGGTTGCTTTTCTTTGAATAACTGCAATTCATTAGTGAAAGTTACAGGGAAATTCTGCATTTTCAATAATAATGAATTGTGGAGAAATAAGGCTATTTGTTCCTGTTACTTTCAACTCAGAAATGCTCATATTTCTGTGTCTTGGAAGTTCAAGAAAATAACATTTTCTTTTTTTTTTTTTTTAATGGAAAAAGTAGCTTTTTTGTTTTTGTCTCCTTCTGTATTATAGTGGAGTTATATCCCCCTCTTGTGGCATTCAGAAATTGCTGCTAGACTATTTTCACTATAGTGCCCTTTCTTAATTGCAGGTAGAATTTCAATAATACCTATAGAATATAAAGTATAAAATACTCCCTACAGAATATAAAATATTCTGGCTACCTGATTTTGATAAGGCAGCCCTAGTCCTCAAGAAATTAAGTATCAACAGCCTAATACTTATATAACATGGTAAAGTATTTTATAGTATATTTATTACTGCTACCTGAGAATGAGATTCTGTAACATACTTATATTGATAAACTAATTTTTCTTGGTGTTATTCTTGAATAAAGTGTGCTTCTCTGTAGACCTAGAATCAGACAAGTAGTATTTCTCTTCAGAAAAGGACTAGGATATAAAGAACAGCATAGGTCAAGCAGAAAGAGAACTTAAATTCAATATAAATGGAACTGGTCTTCTATTCTCTGGGCAGATGCCCTGCACAAGAATTTAGGTTTTGTTAAACAATTAAGTCCAGGAAGGCTTTTCTGAGCAGCAGGTAATAGGAATCTGGCCTGCAGTTGATGATGGAAGTATCTATTCAACTACTCAGCAAAAAGCACTGGTTTCCAAGAATCCTATATCCAGTCAAGAGATCTCTTATTATATAAGAACAAAAAATATATTAAATCGTAATATTCAATATAAAGACCAATATTTGTAAAATTCAGACATGATGTTTATTTATAAAACATTTTTAATTCCTTTTAAGTTGATAGAAAAGAAGACATACATTATTTGTTTTTGTGGGACAGTATGGATTTACATTATTTGTAAATTTAATCTTTATCCTCATGGATCATTCATTCCATCTTTAGGACTAACATATACAGACATACTTATAAAATTAATGTAAATTTTCTTGAATACTAATTTTGAGTAACTTCAAACTGTAGGCTTGTTTATGGATGACAAAAGGGATGGATACTAGGGTTTTTTTTTTGTGTGTGTGAGTGTGTGTGTGATTTTGGAGATTGAACCCAGGGTCTTATGCATTCAAGGCAAGCACTCTACCAACTGAGCTCTATCCCTAGCCTGGATACTCAATTTTGACGGGCACACATGTAATATTTAAAAATACTATTTGACAAAAATAAATGTTATTTTCAAACTAGATCAATTAAATGGGCTTGATTTTAATATTTTGAAAAATTATTCTCAATTAGTTTAGAGCTTTATCTAGTTTTATTTTATTGTTTTTTGAATCACTTTTCTCCTCTGAAGGTATTATAGAGTATATTATCTTGAAAATATTTTTCAGTGGTATAGTTATTCACATTTAATTTTAGCACTATGTATCAGTTAAGGATTGCATTTGGCTGTATATGAGAGAAAGCTCTAAGCAAGCACTTTTTTTCTATTTTCCTCCCTCATGTAATAAAAAGAATTAGAGGTTTGCATTTATTGGTGCAATGACTCTATAAAGCCCTCAGGAATTCAGGCTCCTCCTCATTTTCCACTCATGTGTGAGGGGCTAGAAATAGTGTTTTGTGTAAGTAGGAAGAGAATAGATACAGGGTATACAGTTAGTTTTATCTACCATACAAGGTCATTTTATTTTAAAGTTTTTGCATTTATTTAAAATTTTTGGTATTTCATTTTAAAGTTTTATGTGTTTGATATTATTTGAAAGTTAAAGACAAAAATGAAATCATTAAGGCAACAGTGCCTACTATTTATATTTGTTTGGTAATTTTTATATGCATATATTTATTAAAAAGAATAACCTAATAAATCAGGAGAAATAAAAACAAGAATTAAACAGGATTGCACTTAGTTTTGTTTTTTATATTTTAAATATAATTTTAGCCTTACTACACAATTTTGTATTCTATATTAGAGCACCTAAATCAATTACTACTTATGTTTCTTTTTTTAAATCTGATTTGTTATACATGATGGCAGAATGCAATTCATTTCATATTACAAATATAGAGCACAATTTTTCAAGACACTGATTGTACACAAAATATTTTCACATCATTTGTGTCATATACATGTACTTAGGGTAATTATGTCTAACTCATTCCACCATCATTTCTACCCACTTGCCCTCTCCCTTCCCCTCTCTCCCCTTTCCTTCTCTAAAGTTCTTCCATTCCTCCCATGCTCCCCCCATCTCGCCATTATGCATCTGCATCCTCATATCAAAAAAAACATTAGGCCTTTGGTTTTTTGGGATTGACTTGCTTTACTTAGCAAAATATTCTCCAACTTCATCCATTTACCTGCAAATGCCATGATTTTATTCTCTTTTAATTCTGAGTAATATTCCATTGTGTATATATACCACAGTTTCCTTATCCACTCATCTACTGAAGGGCATCTAGGTTGGTTCCATAATTTAGCTATTGTGAATTGTGCTGCTATAAACATTGATATGGCTGTGTCCCTGTGGTTGTATGCTGTTTTTAAGTCCTTTGGGTATAAACCAAGGAGTTGGGATAGCTGTGTTGAATGGTGGTTCCATTCCAAGTTTTCCAAGGAACCTCCATACTGCTTTCCAGATTGGCTGCACCAATTTGCAGTCCCACAAGCAATTTATGAGTGTGCCTTTTCCCCCACATCCTTGTGAAAACTTAATGTTGTTTGTCTTCATAATAGCTGCCATTCTGACTGGAGTGAGATGATATCTTAGAGTAGTTTTGATTTCATTTCTCTAATTGCTAGAGATGTTGAGCATTTTTTCTTATGTTTGTTGATTGATTGTATATCATCTTTTGAGAAGTGTCTGTTTACTCTATTGGCCCATTTATTGATTGGGTTATTTGTTTTTTTGGTGTTAAGGTTTTTGGGTATTTTATATATCCTGGAGATTAGTGCTCTATCTGATGTGCTTGTGGTAAAGATTTGCTCCCATTCTGTAGGCTCTCTATTCACCTCACTTCTTATTTTGCTGAGAAGAAGCTTTTTAGTTTGAATCCATCCCATTTATTGATTCTTAGTTTTAATTCTTCTACTACAGGAGTTTTATTAAGAAAATTGGGCTAATCCGACATGATGGATACTTGGGCCTACTTTTTCTTCTATTAGGCGCAGGGTCTCTGGTTTAATTCCTAGGTCCTTGATACACTTTGGGTTGAGTTTTGTGCATAGTAGGAGATAGGGGTTTAATTTCATTTTGTTACATGTGGATTTCCAGTTTCGCCAGTACCATTTGTTGAAGAGGCTACCTTTTCTCCAATGTACATTTTTGGTGCCTTTATCTAAAATAAGATAACTGAAGTTATATGGGTTAGACTCGATGTCCTCTATTCTGTACCATTAGTCTATAGGTCAATTTTGGTGCCAATACCATGCTGTTTTAGTTACTTTTGCTCTGTAGTATAGTTTTAGGTCTGGAATAGTAATGCCACCAGCTTCATTCTTCTTGCTAAGGATTGCTTTGGCTATTCTGGGTCTCTTATTTTTCTAGATGAATTTCATGACTGCTTTTTCTATTTCTATAAGGAATGCCATTGGGGATTTGATTGGGATTGCAGTGAATCTGTATAGTGCTTTTGGTAGTATGGTCATTTTGAAGTATTAATTCTGCCTATCCAAGAACAAGGTAGATCTTTCCATCT